GTTATCTGCCAGGGGCGTCCGCCGTCTCCTTGACGAGCAGCCCTCCGCCCCGGGCGGCTGCTGGCTCAGAGCCACCGGTCCTTCCCGGAGATGTTCCCCTGCGGTACCAAAAGTAAGTTTGAAGGGAAAGTGAGCCGTATGAAAACCGCTTTTTTTTTTTTTTAACGTGACACAAGTGGCTGGGATTTAAAGCGTTGCATGATTGCTTCATTCACAATATACTTAATCAAGAGATGGTCTGTCACTTGTGTGGTCTTCAGAAAGCAGGTAATTAGCTATCAAGAAACTTCATGTGCAGTCTGTGCAAGCGGGCAATGGGGTTCTTTACTAACGTGTATTTATTGAATAAGTAGGAAATTGTACTTAATTGCTCCCTCCCCATCCCCGCCGCCTTATAGGTTCTAACTTTTGCAAGACTCATGATGTGAAGTAGGACAACCAGCATTTTGAAGAGCTCTGTCTTAAGTACGACTGTATCTCTGGACGTTGGTGGATTTACTGGAGACCCTTCCCAAAGCCTGCTCGAATCGGAACCTGTGAACTTTCCAAAAGCTTCATAATGGAGTTCTTAGTATCCAAAGCAGGTTATATTAGATATTTGAAAAGATCTTTATTGCTAGTTTTAGTGTGTGTAATAGTTCTTGTGTGCACTGATCAGGACTACTATAGTTTACTTGGAGTATCTAAAGAAGCAAGTAGTAGAGAAATACGACAAGCATTCAAAAAACTGGCATTGAAGTTGCACCCTGATAAAAATCAGGTAAGTTACATCTTTAACAGGTCAAAGTTGTTAATTGGTCTTAATGTTTAAACAAAAAGTGGTTTTAATTTATCTAAAATGTTTCTCTGTTCTTGTGAAGTAATGTGACCACCTGACAATATGGTTCAGCTCAGATTTTCTGCAGAGAAAATTTATAAAAGGGATAGACTAGTCATACAGAGTTGTGTTGAATTTGGGCTGTATTAAATTGCTGTAGCAAAAAAATGAGGCAAGATCATTCTCAATTGTATTTTTGTAAATAGCGGAGAACTTAGTCTGTACCATATTACCTTGTTGGTAAACTGATGAGTTTGTCTCTTTCTTTTCAGCTTAGGGGAACTTACTGTTTCCCTAGCATGAAGTCTCTTCTAAACAGCAAACACCGCCAGCCTGTACTGAGACATCAGTCTCCAAGTATCAAACAGGACCAAGCAGAAATTCAGGGACTGCCAAGGCATAACAAGGGAGGGTAGTAAGGAGCTCTAGACTAACTAGAGAGAGAAGACTGGGAGTGGCTCAGTCTGTGCTACCGTATTTTCCAAAGTACAAAGAAATAATTTTTAAATATAAATGTCATGAGTTTTTCTTCAAGATTTCCTGAAATAATCAGAAATTCACAGCAAATACAAGGGTTTGGATCTTTATATGTGCAACTGCACCTGCACAGAGCCCCAGAAGACAGTGATGTTCCATCTGAGCTCAAGGCCTGCCTGCACAGGGTTTGTTGAAGCCTCTGAGGCGCTCATGTTTTGCAATGGGTTTGAACATGACAGAGCTCAAAGAGAAAGCGAAATCTCAACAAAGTTAGAAATACCAACTTGTAGCTATTAACTGCAAGTTTTGTTTTCCCTGTGTTGCTACCTTTCAAAATAATATTTTTGGGTCAGATTCTGTAGTTTCCAACTATGTGAATACTACTAAGATACTACTAAAGATTCTTCAACAGGTTATTTTCAACTTTAAAGACGGTATTAGACAAATTCCACAATGGTAATTCATTTCATGTGTATCTGGGTAAATAAGTCAAGAATCTTTTCAAAAAAGTGTCTTTTGAATAGAACGTGTAAACAGAAGTTAAAAGGGTAGTAGAGTGCTACAGACTTTGCTCACCACTGTTATACTGCACCAGCTCAGAACGCAAACTGGGGTTCAAAATATGTCTTCAGATTTTTCACCATTCTAATTCCAAAGCTACCCAGAACCAGAATGCTTTTTAAATAAAAAAAGGGGCCTCTGTCACACCATAAGATCAGAAGGGATGAATCTGTCTTTATGGCAGAGATTTTCAAACTGCATGAGTGGAGATTCTAGGGGAGTAGAAAAGATCATAGAGGAAATGATAAGTCTTCATTCTTGAGTACTTTTCTTTTTTTCTTCCACTGAAGAGAGAGAGTTGAAAGAAGAGGGATCACTGGAGAATGTTACCGCCTCCTATCAGTTCACTTTGCATTTCAGTTGGTACTTTAGTGAGGATGAAGAAGTGAGCGGAAGATGCATCTGGCTTCAGGAAAGGAAAATTTTACTGTAGTTTTTTTGGAGATCACTGTGTAATGTCTGCTCGCATCACAACTGACATCTTTAGTAGGGATATAAAAGCATTTCTAAAGATTATTTTCTCAGCATTATATGTACAATATGCTTTATTAATTACTTACTAATTATAGTTTTCCTTAAATAGAATGATCCAAATGCACATGAAAATTTTTTGAAAATAAATAGAGCCTATGAAGTACTTAAAGACGAAGATCTACGGAAGAAGTATGATAAATACGGAGAGAAAGGTCTTGCAGATCAGCAACAAGGAGGTCGTTATGAAAGCTGGCACTTTTATCGCTATGATTTTGGTAAGTTATGATGTATGTTTGCGATTTGCTTAAAACAGTCACAAGTAAATGCAATATGCAGATCTGTATCAGATCTTTTTACGCGTTTCTGATGTATCCTCTCCATGTTTCTGCCTGCTTGTTGTTCTCCTGTAGCTGTCATTTTCTCTCGCTGTTGACCCAGTCTTTCATTTACCGTGTTAATGGCTACCCAAAAATACCGAAAATGTAATAATCTATTTACCTAGCCTTTTGTTCCTGCTGCTTACCTTTTGATTGGCCATTTAACTTCTTGTGTTTTTTTTTTTTTAAGTGCAAAGCTTTTTTTTTTTTTAACTTAAATTCCAGTGTTAATGTTTCATCAGTATTCTTTTTAATTCTTAAATGCAGGAAGACCTTTTTTGTTTAGATAAAGTGTTCTCAAGTGGATTTTGAGAGATATTTGTAGTTTCAAGCCTATTTTTTATGCAGTTATACAATTAGAGATCAGTAAAGAGGTAGCAAAAAATGAAAAAATGATAACAGAATCATACCTAAAATGATCCTGAAACAAGTTATTTAATGTTTGTCTCAACAAATTTTAGGTAGTTG